CAGTCCTGATTTTACAGATAAGAAAATGGGACTCAGAAAGACTAAGTACTCTTATCTAATTATTAGAACACAGTTAGGAATAGAGCTGAAGCTAGGGCCTGGGTCTTTTGAATCCCTGTTTGGTGCTTCTTGGTCTGCTTAGATTAAACATACCTTTCCTCCCATGACCTCGAGGTCTGGCAAAAGGGTCCACAATTCCCATCCAGTTCCCATCCGCAGGCATGGACAAGGGCCGGGGCTTGCCTGCAGAGGGATGAGACAAAGGTGACAAAGTTGATGAGTTTGGGGACTTTAGAGAATCTTTTCCTTTATTTACAGTTTAGACCCCATAATATCACACCCACTCAAGCAGAAGCAATAACACATTTTAAAATAAGGAATTTATTTTAAAACACCATATTTCCATAGCAGGCAATTAGGACAGAGGTTGCTAACCTTAAGTCTGTACATCTACAGAACAAAGTGACTCCAAAGTCAAAGCCCAGGCACCGAAAGTGAAAACTGTAACACGATCTCACGCAGCTGGGCTTTGATGCCAGGCAGGGTAATGACTCAACAAGGCTTCACTTTAGAGACATGAATAAACGTCTCATACTTAGAATTTCATTGAGGTTTATGTTTTCCTCGGATTACCCTTACAGTCTGCCAAATTCACCCAACGGTTCCAAATAAGGAAGGGGGTGGGAAGAGAAGGAAAGCAAACGGTGGAACAAAACGAACACTCAGAAACTGACCATAAGATGATGTTTTCTCTCTCATTTTTGTGGGTAGGATGTTGGTTTCCACCGAATACCCCGGCAACTGGTCCGAATCAGCAATGGTGAACCTGCGTCTACGGCTTTCCTGGTCCAAGAAGGAATTCGGGGACTCGGAACCCTTCGGACCAGGCAGTGCTTGTTTACACTTACTGAATCCTCCATATACAAAACTCCCATTCTGGTCCCTGGAAGGCAACGTGCAATAATTAAGTAGCTTACAAAGATCCTGTCACCCTCAAGAGTCATAGGAGTGATGCTACCTCCGCACATAAAGAAAATCTAAATTCTCCTTTTCCACTGGAGGAAAACCCCAGTTACCCCTCAAATACAGACAGATCCTGTTAAATAAGAGCAAATGCCATGACCCTGTTAAGTAAGAGTAAATGCAGGTTTTTTCATATATGTCTAAATGATACAAATATACCTCTAAAAACATAGCTCTAGTTTTCCTGCGCTTCTGTCCTGTAGTTGAATATCCTATTTACTGCAGGAATCATAAGAGAAGGTGTGACCTTCAAACCATTTTTCTCATGCCAAGAGTACTATCTTTGCCAAGATCCCGCAAAGACGACACTTGATGTGTAATGAAGTTATTAGATTTGAAAATTACATCAAAAAATGTAAAGGGGCTTTTATAGTAACCAATGTAGAGTGACTACTTTCTGAACTAAGTACAGAAACAGCAAAATTTGGATTCTATCTAAACGTCAGTTTGTAATAAAATTTTAAATTAATGTTAGTTGAGACAAAGTTAGCAGCTGGTTACATTTTTTGCATTTCATAAATTCCATTAGACGATCAGTACAAAAAATTTTAATTTAAATTTTAATTTAAATTAATTTTAAATTAAAGTTAGCAGCTGGTTACATTTTTTGCATTTCATAAATTCCATTAGACGATCAGTACAAAAACTACTACACAAAATACAGAAATCCCCCCACTCACAAAGCTCTCAAGACTCTACTAGTTTCTCTGTAACCATTTACATTTTTTATTGCTCAGAAAATATCCTTCATTAGTGGCAGGTGTGTGCACACAAGCACGTGCGAGGATCTCCCCCAAGTAGATTAAAAGCCCCAGTTCCCTTTGTCCCTCACCGTGTACATTCCCCTTTTTCTGCCACTACTCCTGTGACCCCACACGGAGGCCCAGACAAGAA